TCAGTGAAACAATAAAAGAGGCATCTGCTATAAGTTAGAAGTGTGGAAGAGTGTGGGGGTTTGAGGTTCGCTGAAAATCAATATGTGAAATAGACCTTCAAGAGAATAGAAAAGATGAGCAGGATTTTCAGACCCAATTATCACATGCTTGATGTTTTCTGTCATATATTTAAATTGTACTCAATCTAATGTTTTTATTGTGTATATGTGTTCCTTATTCATTGTGATGTGACCATATATATTTCTCTTCTTCCATAAACATTTTGACTGCATACTTAGATTTAGATCAACCAACATAACACAAACATGTGCATTTTATAGTAAACAACTGACTTAGCAAGAATTATTAGTGTAATTTGTAAGCCCTGCACTTTTTAATGGTCCAATAGTTACTCACTTCATTAGTGTTAATGTTTGCAAAGTACACAAATCTACATTCTAAAAAGAACATCAACTTAACTATGGATATAGGACAAAATATCCTTCACTCCAGTCTGGAACAAGGGACTTTGGAAAACCATCATCATTTAAAATAAGAGTAATTACTTTTTCTCAGATATTTATTGCTGTTCTAACTCTGTCAAAGTCAAAATAATAGACTTAATTATTTTCAGACATGATATGAAATTATTAATATATCTTCTGTACATTTGACAAGTCTTTTCAAGGGACTTAAAGATAATTAAAAAATAAGAAAGAAAATTAAACATTAGCATAACTATATAGGTCTTTGTTACCAGGTAACAGAAAGTTTGACCAAAAATTTTCCTATTTATAGAGTTGCTTTTCCCCAGTTATGTTTAATTTTAACTATGACAACAAGCTGTATCTAAGAAAAGAATAAGAGCAAAACCAATAGTCATTTAAGAGGTCTTACTTTTCGGTGTATTTACTGGAAATTGAAATGAATGATTATTATGACTGAATAGCAAATCCTTCTGAACCAAATATGTTTGTCAACTAATAAACTGATATTTTGATAATAAATTACAACGTTCAAATCACTCAGAGCTTTACAGAATTGAGTTACATTATTTTTCTAAAGATTTATTTATTTATTTTAGAGAGACACAGAGAGAGCACACAGAGAGGGAGAAGCAGAGAGAGAGGAAGAGAGAGAATCTCAAGCAGACTACCCACTGAGCACAGAGCCCAATGTGGGGCTGGATCTTACAACCTTGAGATCATGACCTGAACCAAAAAATCAAGAGTTGGACACCTAACAAACTGAGCCACCCAGGTGCCCTGAGTTACATTCTTTTTTTTTTTTTTTTAATGTAGTATTCAATGATTCATTAGTGGTGTATAATACCCAGTGCTCATCACATCACGTGCTCTCCTAATGCCCATCACCCAGTTACCCCATCCCCCGACCCACCTGCTCTTCCACTACCCTCAGTTTGTTTCCCAGAGTCAAGAGTCTGTCATGGGTTGTCGCCCTCTCTGATTTCTTCCCATTCAGTTTTCCCTCCCTTCCCCTATGATCCTCTGTGCTATTTCTTATGTTCCACACATGAGTGAAACCATATGATAATTGTCTTTCTCTGATTGATTTATTTCACTTAACATAATACTCTCCAGTTCCATCCATGTCAATGGTAGATATTCCAAGTTACATTCTTGTAACAAAGTATTTACCAAAGTATTTATCTGAATACACTTTTCAGAGTTTACACCTATTAAAAAGGTAAAACTAGAATGTGTGTTATACTCTCTCTCATTCTGGCTGTAACATTCATCCCTGGATACATGTACTCATTGAGAAAGTAATTTATCTATTTCATTTATTACAATATATTTTAAAGACATTTATGGTTTTGGCAAAATGTGCACCATTACTCCAAGGAAATCTATCAAGAAGAAACAATTTTAACAATTAGAGGCTTATGTTTACAGGATTTTTTTAAGATTTATTTATTTTAGAGAGAAAGAGAGAGAGCACATAAGCAGGAGGGGGGAGGCAGAAGGAGAGGGAGAGAATCCTAACCAGGCACTGACCCTCTACTAAGTGCCAAGCGTGGTTCAGGGCTTGATCTCACCACCTGAGATCATCACATGAGCCAAAATCAAGAGTTGGCCACTTAACCAACTAAGCCACCCAGGTGCCCCAAATGTGCACAGGATTTTTTTTAAATTAAATTTCAATGTATAAAGTGAGAACTTCCAGTAATGGTGTCCAAGTGAAGTAGTTGTGTAAATTCAACCACTTTAGATAGATAATAATTATAATAGATGACAGTTTTAACAAATACATAAAATAAAAAGTCAACTATGTAAAGATACTAGAAGTGTTCAAAATCGGCCAGAAGCCATAGGAAATTTTACTCTCAAAAATCAGCTCTTAAAACAATAAGAAGTTTAAGTTTGAGAATTTGGGGCCTGAGTTTGTGGCTTTTGGATAACCAGTCCTCTCAAACCCGACAGCTACAATGATGCAAACAGGCAGGAAAAAACTATAATCTTAAATGGTTAGAGTACCAGAAGTGAGTTTAGGATTGGAAGAGGAGCTGACAATTTAAAACAAAAATATTAGACATTCAAAGAAATGGCCAAGTGTGACACGTATCTAGATTTTCAGCAGAAACTAATTCTAAGTGAGCTCACACATGGATTTAGAAGACCTCAAAGCCCCTATCATAAACATTTGGACATAAGAAGAAATGGAAACCTGAGTAGCTATTAACATTAAATCCATAATAGGAATAAACTTTACCAAGAAGAACTCTAGACAAGTTTGGCTTCACTAGTGAAATCACTCAAATACACAGAAAGAAATAATATTAATATTACACAAATTCCTTTAAAACTAGATGAAAAAGAAATATTTCATAACGAATTTTATGATGCCATGAGTCCCCTGATAACAAAGCTAGACAAATCTACCAATATCATATCCTTTGTGAAAATTAGATGTAATTTTTTTTAAAGATTTTATTTATTTATTTGAGACAGAGAGAATGAGAGAGAGAGAGCACATGAGAGGGGGGAGGGTCAGAGGGAGAAGCAGGCTCCCTGCCGAGCAGGGAGCCCAATGAGGGACTCGATCCAGGGACTCCAGGATCATGACCAGAGCCGAAGGCAGTCGCTTAACCAACTGAGCCACCCAGGCGCCCTAGATGTAATTTTTAAAGAAAATATTAGCAAACCAAATTCAACAATATATTAAAAATATAACACATAATGGCCAAGCAGTTTTTTCCAGGAATACAGGTTAACATTCAAAATAAATTAATATAACTCAACATATTGATAGAATAAAGGAAATAGGTCATTTAATTATCTTTTTAGTTCCAGAAAAAGAAGCTTTAAAAATCCACTAATCATTCATGATGAAAAAAAGAACCTCCTAGTAAAGTATGAATAGAAGATGTCCTCAAACTGAAAATATATCTTTTAAGGACCCATAGCTAATAATGTAATAATTTAAGAATGAAAAATTGAATACTCCCCTCTAGGATTCATAAAAGGCTAGGATGCCTGCATTCTCCCATTTATTCAAAACTCCCACTAAATTCCTAGCTAAGAAAATAAAGAAAAATAAATTTTAAAAAATACAGATTGGAAAGTAATGGGTAAAACTATCTTTTTTCTTCAAACTGGCCTATTTATGTGGAATATCCTAAAGATTTACAAAAGAGCTGCAAAAACTAACAAGTTAACCTAGCAAGGTCACAGAATACAATGCAAATATATACAAATCCATGGCATACCCATTTATTAGTACTAAATAACTATAAAATAAAACAGCAAATACAATATGATTTTTGGTAGAATCAGAAAATGTGAGGTATTTCAGATAAAATTAAAATTAATTCACTGAAAACAAAATATTCATGAAAAAGTAGACTTCAATGAATTGAGAAATACACTATGTTCATGAATCACAAGATAAATATTATAGAGAAGTCATCTCTCCTAAAAATGAACCTATGAACTCAGTACAATCCCAATTAAAAGAAACTGGCCAATTGTTTTAAAACTCAAAAAATAATAGAAATAACTCACAGGAGCCAAAGAAATTAAAAAAGGAGGAGACAGAGAAAGAGGAGGAATAGGAGGAAGAGAACATCACGTTTGAAAATTCACCTTACTTGATTTTCACACTTACTATAAAGCTACAGTTAGTAACTAAGACAGTGTAATACTGGTAAAAAGAAAGACATTTGGATCAAGGAAGAATAATTTAGAGTCCACTAATAGACCCATACATATATGATACAATAATTTTTGACTCAAGTGCCAGGGTAAGTTAATGGAGAAAAGAAAGTCTTTTAAACAAATGGTACTGTAAAACTGAGTTTTCCTGTGGGAAAAAAGTAAAACTGAGTTTTCCTATGGGGAAAAAAAGTCAAGCATGATTCTTACTTTATACCACACAAAATATGAGTATTGACCATATATCTTGTAAAAGAAACACTGACACTGGAGTAGGCAAAAATGTTTTAAAATACAAAGAACAGGAAGCTAAAAATTATTAAGTGGACTTTGTCCAATTATGAACTAAAAATAAACAAAAAAAAAGTTTCCCAATCATAGGACATCGTTTCAAAAATGAAAAGACAAGGCACACATCGAAAGATGGATTTGTAAATCAAAGATGATAAAGAATATGTGTCTAGAATGTACAAAGATCTCTTATAAATCAGTAATAAAACCATCAACTCAGTTGGAAAATGGATAAAAGATTTGAACAATTAACATAAGATGTAAAAATGGCCACTTAGTATATGAAAAGATACTCTGTATTCTTAGTCATAAGGAACTTGCAAATTAGAAGCATAATGTGAGAGGAAGGAGCAAGATGGCGGAGGAGCAGGAGAACTAACTTTCATTTAGTCCCAGGAATTCAGCTAGATAGGGATCAAACCATTCTGAACAACTACGAACTCAACAGGAGATCGAAGAAAAGAAGAGCAGCAACTCTCTGAACAGAAAAGTGACCATTTCTAGAAGGTAGGATGTGCGGAGAAGTGAATCCAAGGCTATATTCAGGAAGATAGATGGCGGGGGAGAGTGCTCCATCAGCCGCTACTGGTAAGTGATAGAGCCGCAGAGCACAAAGTGGAAACTTCTAGAAGTCAGCTCCACTGAGGGACGTTGCTCCAGTGGCTAAGTGGGGGGTGGAACCCTCACCGGACAGTGTGGTCTCAGGACCCTTGGGGTCACAGAAAGACTGGGGGTTCCTAAGTGCGGCAGAGCTCCCAGGTATCGGAGCGGGGAAGCCGGCTGCAGAGACGGTGCCAAGGCAAGGGCTCTCAGCTCGGGGTTGCCATAAACTGTGATCCAAGCCACACTCGGGCCCCTGCTCTTCCAGCAGGGATCTAACAAGCGGCAGATCCAGGGAAACTCCCCTTCCTCCCCCGGAAGGAGTGGCACGGAGCACACTGCAGGGATCTGCTGGGTTTGGAGACTCCACACAGGGTCATGTGCCAGAGATAGAAATGCTTGGTCACAGGCCAGGTGAGCATGGAGTGTGGGCTGGAGACCGGGGAGACGGGAGTGACTGACTGCTTTTCTCGGGGGCTCACTGAGGAGTGGGGCCCTGAGTTCTTGGCTCCTCCAGGGTGGAGATTGGGAGGCTGCCACTTTCACTCTTGGCCTCCAAAGCTGTACAGAAACCTTGCAGGGAAAAAAAGCTCCTGAGAGCAAACCCAAGCAGATTACTCAGCCCAGATCAGCAAGGGCGGGGCAATTCCACCTCCGGCAAAGACATTTGAGAACCACTGTGACAGGCCCTTCCCCCAGAAGATCAGCAAGGACAGCCAGCGAAGACCAAGTTTACTGATCAAAGAGAATGGCACAACTCCAGCATTAGGGGAATACTGCACATAGAATTCTTGGCTTTTTTCCCATGATTCTTTAGTCTTTCAAAGCTAATTTTTTTAACTGTCTTTTCCTTTTTTTTTTTTTTAAATTTTTCTTTTTCCCTTTTTCAACCAACATCTTATCAATCCCTTTTTTAAAAATATATTTTTTATTTTTAGAGCCATATCTATCCCTTCATAGTAGTCACCCTTATTTTTGGTATATATATATATATATATATATGTATATATATATATATGTTGTTCTCTCTTTAAAATTTTGGGATAAAGTTTCTTCTAACAGACCAAAATATACCCTAAATCTCTAGTGCATGGCTTTGTTCTAGTCTCCTGCCTGATCACATTCTCTCCCTTTTTGTTTTTTAAACCCTCTTCTTTCTTTTTTCAACCAACTTCTTATCAATTCCTTTTATAAAATGTTTTATAATTTTCATCTTTACAGTCATATTCTATCCCTTCATCATATTTACCCTTATTTTTGTATATAAGTTTTTATTTCTTTTAAAATTTTGGGAGGCACGTTCTTCTAACAGACCAAAACACGCTAAAAATCTAGTGTGTGGCACTGATCTTCGCACCAGCCTGCTCATATTTTCTCATATTCTAGGGTTTTTTTGTTTGTTTGTTTGTTTGATCTTTTTCTTTTTCTTTTTTCTTTCTTTCCCTTTCTTTTACCCCAGATTCAGGTCTATTCTGATATGTTTTGTGTATATTTTCCTGGGGTCATTGTTACCCTGTTAGCATTTTGTTCTCTCATTCATCTATTCTCCTCTGGACAAAATGACAAGATGGAAAAAATCACCTCAAAAAAAAGAACAAGAGGCAGTACCAACTGCCCAGGACCTAATCAATACAGACATTAATAAGATGTCAGAACTAGAGTTCAGAATGACGATTTTAAAGATACTAGCTGGGCTTGAAAAAAGCATGGAAGATACTAGAGAAACCCTTTATGGAGAAATGAAAGAACTGAAATCTAACCAAGTCAAAATCAAAAAGGCTATTAATGAGGTGCAATCAAAAAATGGAGGCTCTAACTGCTAGGATAAATGAGGCAGAAGAGAGAATTAGTGATATAGAAGACCAAATGATGGAAAATAAAGAAGCTGAGAAAAAGAGAGATAAACAACTACTGGATCACGAGGGCAGAATTCGAGAGATAAGTGATACCATAAGAACAAACAATATTAGAATAATTGGGATCCCAGAAGAAGAAGAAAGAGAGAGGGGGGTAGAAGATATATAGGAGCAAATTATAGCAGACAACTTCCCTAATCTGGGGAAGGAGACAGGCATGAAAATCCAGGAGGCACAGAGAACCCCCCTCAAAGTGAATAAAAATAGGTCAACACCCCAACATCTAATAGTAAAACTTATGAGTCTCAGAGACAAAGAGAAAATCCTGAAAGCAGCTTGGGACAAGAGATCTGTAACCTACAATGATAGAAACATTAGATTGGCAACAGACCTATCCATAGAGACCTGGCATGCCAGAAAGGACTGGCAGGATATATTCAGAGCACTAAATGAGAAAAATATGCAGCCAAGAATACTATATCCAGCTAGGCTGTCATTGAAAATAGGAGAGATAAAAAGCTTCCAGAACAAACAAAAACTAAAAGGAATTTGCAAACATGAAACCAACCCTACAAGAAATATTGAAAGGGGTCCTTTAAGCAAAGAGAGAGCCTAGAAGTAACATAGACCAGAAAGGAACACAGACAATATACAGTAACAGTCACCTTACAGGCAATACAATAGCACTAAATTCATACCTTTCCATAGTTACCCTGAATGTAAATGGGCTAAATGCCCCAATCAAAAGACACAGGGTATCAGATTGGATGAAAAAACAAGACCCATTGATATGCTGTCTGCAAGAGACTCATTTTAGACCCAAAGAAACCGGCAGATTGAAGGTGAGGGGGTGGAAAACCATTTACCATGCTAATGGACACCAAAAGAAAGCTGGGGTGGCAATCCTTATATCAGACAAATTAGATTTTAAACCAAAGACTATAATAAGAGATGAGGAAGGACACTATATCCTACTTAAAGGGTCTATCCAACAAGAAGATCTAACAATTGTAAATATCAATTCCCCTAACATGGGAGCAGCCAATTATATAAACCAATTAATAACAAAAGCAAAAAAACACATCAACAACAATACAATAATACTGGGAGACTTAAACCCCCCCCCCCATTGAAATGGACAGAACATCTAAGCAAAAGATCAACAAGGAAATAAAGACTTTAAATGACACACTGGACCAAATGGACTTCACAGATATATTCAGAACATTCCATCCCAAAGCGATGGAATACACATTCTTCTCCAGTGCCCATGGAACATTCTCCAGAATAGATCACATCCTAGGTCACAAATCAGGTCTCAACCAGTACCAAAAGATTGCGATCATTCCCTGCATATTTTCAGACCACAATGCTTTGAAACTAGAACTCAATCATAAGAGGAAAGTCAGAAAAAACTCAAATACATGGAGGCCAAAGAGCATCCTACTAAAGAATGAATGGGTCAACCAGGAAATTAAAAAAGAATTTTAAAAATTCATGGAAACCAGTGAAAATGAAAACACAACTGTTCAAAATCTTTGGGATGCAGCAAAGGTAGTCCTAAGAGGAAAGTATATAGCAATACAAGCCTTTCTCAAGAAACAAGAAAGGTCTCAAATACACAACCTAACCCTACACCTAAAGGAGCTGGAGAAAGAACAGCAAATAAAGCCTAAACCCAGCAGGAGAAGAGAAATCATAAAGATCAGAGCAGAAATCAATGAAATAGACACCAAAAGAACAGTAGAACAGATCAACAAAACTAGGAGCTGGTTCTTTGAAAGAATTAACAAGATTGATAAATCCCTGGCCAGACTTATCAAAAAGAAAAGAGAAATGACTCAAATAAATAAAATCATGAATGAAAGAGGAGAGATCACAACCAACACAAAGAAATACAAACAATTATAAAAACATATTATGATCAACTATACACCAGCAAATTAGATAATCTGGAAGAAATGGATGCATTCCTAGAGATGCATAAACTACCAAAACTGAACCAGAAGGAAATAGAAAACCTGAACAGACCTATAACCACTAAGGAAATTGAAGCAGTCATCAAAAATCTCCCAACAAACAAGGGCCCAGGGCCAGATGGCTTCCCAGGGGAATTCTACCAAACATTTAAAGAAGAATTAATTCCTATTCTTCTGAAACTCTTCCAAAAAATAGAAATGGAAGGGAAACTTCCAAACTCGTTTTATGAGCCATCATTACCTTGATCCCAAAACCAGACAAAGACCCCATCAAAAAGGAGAATTACAGACCAATATCCTTGATGAACATGGATGCAAAAATTCTCACCAAAATACTAGCCAATAGGATCCAACAGTACATTAAAAGGATTATTCACCATGATCAAGTGGGATTTATCCCTGGCTGCAAGGTTGGTTCAACATCTGCAAATCAATCAATGTGATACAATACATTAATAAAAGAAAAAACAAGAACCATATGATCCTCTCAATGCAGAAAAAGCATTTGACAAAGTACAGCATCCTTTCTTGATCAAAACTCTTCAGGCTATAGGGATAGAAGGGACATACCTCAATATCATAAAAGCCATCTATGAAAAACCCACAGCAAATATCATTCTCAATGGGGAAAAACTGAGAGCTTTCCCCCTAAGGTCAGGAACACGGCAGGGATGTCCACTATCACCACTGCTATTCAACATAGTACTAGAAGTCCTAGCCACAGCAATCAGACAACAAAAAGAAATCAAAGGCATCCAAATTGGCAAAGAAGAAGTCAAACTTTCACTCTTTGCAGATGATATGATACTTTATGTGGAAAACCCAAAAGACTCCACCCAAAAACTGCTAGAACTCATACAGGAATTCAGTCAAGTGGCAGGATATAAAATCAATGCACAGAAATCAGTGGCATTCCTATACACCAACAACAAGACAAAAGAAAGAGAAATTAAGGAGTCAATCCCACTTACAATTGTACCCAAAACCATAAGATACCTAGGACCAAAGAGGCAAAGAATCTGTACTCAGAAAACTATAAAATACTAAGGAACAAAATTGAGGAAGACACAAAGAAATGGAAAAACGTTCCATGCTCATGGATTGGAAGAACAAATATTGTGAAGATGTCAATGCTACCTAGAACAATCTACGCATTCAATGCAATCCCTATCCAAATACCATCCACTTTTTTCAAAGAAATGGAACAAATAATCCTAAAATTTGTATGGAACCAGAAAAGACCCTGAATAGCCAGACGAATGTTGAAAAAGAAAAGCAAAGCTAGTGGCATCACAATTCCAGACTTCAAGCTCTATTACAAATATATTCTGCAACTTGCTTATAGTACTTATCATTTCCCATCTTGTGTTCTATGAATTTTACCTATCTACCAAATATAAATACCTTTGAATCAAGAAATATGCTTTTAAATTTTGTTCTATGTATTTGTTGTCTTCTCTTACTTCTTAACAGAATACCTGCATAGCACAGAGATTGAGGTTGTAGGTTCTGATGCTGGACTACCTAGGCTCAAATTTCCACTGAAGCACTGCTTAGGGTATGATTTTAGGCAAGTTTCCTGACTACATAAGTACCTCAATATTCCCCTCATGGAAATATGGGTAATAGTACCTAGCCCATAGAGTTATTGTAAGAATTAAATTCACTTATATGGGTAAATTTGCTTGAAATAGTGCCTAATATAGAGTAAAAACTCAACTATTGTTAGCATTTCTTACTTTCCATATATTAGATACTCAAATCGTATTTAAATGAGTAAATAAGTTAAACTCAAACTTTAAAAAATTATTATGAAAATTTTCAAATATAAACAAAATTAGAATTATCTAATGGACTACCATCTCTTCAACAACTTCCAAGATTTTGCCATACTGGACTAATATGTACCACATCTTTTTTGCATGAAGTGTTATAAAGCAAATCCCAGACATCATAGTCTTAATTGAGTTTATTTTTTAAAAAGCTAAGTCATAAAGTAATGATGAGTAAAAATAATCATTGTCTGGAAGGAAATTAGGAAATATTACCGAATCTCTTTTCTCTCAATTATCTGATACTATTAGAGAAAATATGTTGGCCTCAAATATTTTGAAAATTTTCATTTCACATTAACACACTTAGTCTATAATTAGAGCCACAAATCACACAACTTTTGAAAATAATCATAAGAAATAAAATGGGAGAACCTGGGTGGATCAGTCAGTTAAGTGGCTGACTCTGGATTTTAGCTCAGGTCATGATCCCATATGGTCCTGGGATTGAGCCTCGTGTCAGGCTGCATGCTCAGCACAGAGTCTGCTTGAAGAGTCTCTCCCTCTCCCTGTGCCCCACCCCCTGCTAGTGCTCTCTCTCTCTCTAAAATAAATAATCTTTTTATTTTTTTAAAGATTTTATTTATTTTTTGACAGAGACACAGTGAGAGAGGGAACACAAGCAGGGAGAGTGGAAGAGGAAGAAGCAGGCTTCCCGCCGAGCAGGGAGCTCGATGTGGGGCTCGATCCCAGGACCCTGGGATCATGACCTGAGCCGAAGGCAGACGCTTAATGACTGAGCCACCCAGTCACCCTAAATAAATCTTTTTTAAAAAGAAAGAAAATGATACTTTTAGTTGAAAAACTCATTTTCCTTTGCTTTTAATTTTGAATCCTATACATACAAGTATAAAGTTATTTAGTAATTACTATATGCTTTTTAAATATACACAGAGAAAACATAAGACAAATACAGACACAGGCACAGATATACATACATACATGTGTATGCACACGTTTTGTAGAATGATTTATTAGATTATAACTTCTTCAAAAGCAGGCATAATGCTTCTTTACATGTTACATGGTACCAAGTATATTATTAATTTATTAATCAGAGTCTTATGAATTGATGCTGCAGGCATCAGATATTTTACATTACATTACACATTTACATTACATTTTATATTACACATTATATTAAGATATCCTGCTTAATGATTTTTATCCATATTTTAACATCAGATTGATTTTGGACAAAGTAGTTATGGATGCTGATCCACTGATACATATTGTAATTTTATGTTCTTTCAACCAAAAGTTATTTATCTGTAATTCACTTTCAAAATCTTTAAAAATTTTTTATAGACTAAATGAACACTGTGTTGTTCACTAAATGGCAGTAAAATGATATAATACACATTTATTTTGTGGTATCTGGAATAATGTATGAAACTTATGGGGATAGATATTTCCTAAAAATGTATTAGAATTTGAAGGTATTTTTTAAATTGTTTCCTTAAAATGTAATAAAACTAAATATTAAAATGAAAATATATATGAAGGGTGAAAATGATAGTGAATATATATGGTTTCTCCAAAGACTTATTGCTGGGTATTCAATTCTGACCTTGAATTAATAATGTAAAATATATGTAAAAAATAATGTAAAAAATACGTTATTTTTAAATTTATGACCAGATACACAGTAGTTAAAAATGCTACTGAATCAAGTATAGATGCACAAAGAACTTAGCAATTTGAAACATGAAGCTAGGGGCCAGAATACCTGAAAGAGTATCTAAAAATGATAGAGCAGAAAATAAATCATTAACTTTGTGGTTAATCAACTCTACCTTTCCATAAGTCATCTACTTTTTCTTAAGATTACACTTCTTTCATTGGTTGGCTAATGTATGTTTCTTAAATCAACACAGGACCAGTGTTTCTATTTATTTTATGCAACAATTCTACCTACGCACCTATGACTGATAGCTCAGTGTAAATACTGTATCTTGAGACATGCTGTATCCAGAATTGACCCTACCTTTTCCTTCCTGAGAAACTGAGGTGAACGGTAGACATATAAATTTGATTGAACAGTGAACTTCAATTCTTTCTAGCTACATAGGAAAACAAGCCTATGCAATTGAGCACTTACTAAAACTCTCTTGTTCTACTCTGAAGTTAACCACTATCATCAAAATGTTCTGTGGAGACTATGTAAGTATAATGACTATTTCTATAAAACTTTTCCAGTCTTTGGAGATTTGAACCTTATTTATAAAATTTCATGTGTGGTGCTTGACATTTTCATCAGGAAATATTGATGTTTTAATTTATTTTCATTAAATTTTTAATTAGTAGATGTTCAATATAACTATTAAGCAAAGTTATATTATTAAATCTCAAACCTATGCTAATTTTGAAGTAATTTATTATTCCAAAAAGGCAATTTAGACGCCATTACTTTCATAAGTAAACTGACTTCGAATTTTCACTAAAGTTATAAGATTTTTCCCCATATGTATTTCTGTAAGAAACCAAAAATAGGGGCACCTAGGTGGCTCAGTCAGTTGGACGTCTGCCTTCAGCTCAGGTCGTGATCCCAAGTCCTGGGATGGGAGCCCCGCATTAGGCTCTCTGCGCAGCAGGAAGCCTGCTTCTCCCTCTCCCTCTGCCTGCCACTTTGCCTACTTGTGGCTCTCTCTGTCAAATAAATAAAATCTTTTAAAAAAAAGAAACTAAAAATAAATGTGATTGTTAATTTTTATTTTAAATCTATGATCTCTTCAGAAAATAGTTTATTTTTGAATGATTATCTGTTGATTTTAAGCAATGTATAACTCAGTTTAGTATTTTTTCTTATCTGAATCATTTTGATCCAACTGCTCTAATAGTCCACAAACTTTCGAAGAGCTGACATATACACTGAGTTATCCAAATGTACATTTCAAAAAAGATAGCCATTTCACATGGTCTTAGAAATTATATGTAATTGTGTTCTGTGTTGATGACAATTTTTTGAATCTATATAATAAAAAATACTTCCAGGAAGCTTTTTATTTTTACTGCAATTTTTTATGCAGAAAAATCACAACAATTATTTGGTTAAACTTTGGCACAAAAATAATATTATTTACTCATTTAAAAAAGTATTAATTTCCAAGAAAATTTTATTTATTTTGTCTTTCAAATTAAATATCAAATGAGGATCAAAAAAAGGGCCAATTTTCATCACTGTTGCCTTAAGAAGCTTAATTTCATCTTGAGATTCTAGGATCTCATAGGCAGTTGAAACTTATCATTACTGTTTTTTTTTTTTTAATTTTTTATTTATTTGCGAGAGAGAGAATGAGAGACAGAGAGCATGAGAGGGAGGAGGGCCAGAGGGAGAAGCAGACTCCCCGCCGAGCAGGGAGCCCGATGCGGGACTCGATCCCGGGACTCCAGGATCATGACCTGAGCCGAAGGCAGTCGCCCAACCAACTGAGCCACCCAGGCGCCCCTCATTACTGTTTTATTAATTGTGCAGCAGTTACATTTCATCAAAGAGAAATGTGTCATGAGGTAATTCAGACCAGCATGGTAAATGATTTAATTTGTAAAAAGTTACTGTTTTCTCCCTTTCTATTCATTCAAGTATAATTATTTGGAAATAATATTATATCCTGTATGCTGTATATGCCAATTTATGAAAGGAACATTTAGAGAATATTTAAGTTATATTCCAAGGAATATTAAAAGTTATGACAATGACAAGATTTTTTAAAAATGCAATGATTGGCTATAGTTCTGGAGCTGATAAAGAATATGAGAGACTAAAGAGTTGGATTTGAACAAGCTTAAATATTCATTTTAAGTATTTTTGATCATTTAAGAGATAAATGTTAGGTTTTATGTATTACCTAAATACATAGATACTGATCTATGTATTTCAGATATCTATCGGATATCTATCCATATCTATCCAAAAGCACATTTTGATGATAAAATTGTTTTACATAATCAATGTTATTATATTTTAAGGCAATTATTTATTATCTTGAAATATATGGCCCAGGTGATTAGAATTTGGTATTAAAGAGACCAACAGTTGAGGTTAAGTTCATCTGTTTAATCTCCATTTTGAGTCTGGTGTTCTCAAGCAAAAGACAAACTCTTCCATAGGCAATACAGCAGAAGTTCTCATATCTATCTATCTATCTATCTATCTATCTATCTATCTATCATCTATCTATCTATCTATCTATCATCTATCTATCTATCTATCTATCTATCTATCTATCTATCTATCTATCTCTTTGATCCCCAAAGAGCACCAAAGCCAAACAACAGCAATTTAGGCAATGTCTAGTGTGGGCAATATAATGGTCTGCATTTTAGCCCAACTAATATGGAGTAAATGCATTGGTACTCATATTTTGGTGTGGATGATTACTGACTAGGTTGCTTCTTAAAAATATACTCGTAGGTCCTCTACTGAGAAGTTTCTATTCAATTATGACATCTGAACTTATATGCTTGATATAAATATGTGACCATTTTTGAAAGCCACTGAGGTAATTCATTAGAATCAATTAAAAATATAGAAAATTTAAATATAAGTCAAGCAAGAGGCAAAAGTGATAGAAAAGTAGTTGCATTTCTGAAAGAAATAATTATATGTAATCCTTTCAAATTACTTCCTATAATTATGGAGGTAGATAACCCTTAATGATTAAAGTAGTTTAAGTGGGTTAGTTACATTAAGAAGGTAAATTTACCTTTAATGCAATAAGTGTATTTTACCTATGTGCTTGACCATAAGACTGTCTATTGAAAGCAAGATTTAATTAAATGATTATGGCAAGCCTGGAATTGTTTTATTAATTAGTCAGATATAAATCACCTTTCAGGAAGATGCTATTACAATATGCCTCCTACATTGAGGGAAATTGCACTGTAGAATGTTAATTATATATAAATATATATTTTATATAATATATAAATTATTAAATTTATTAATATTATTATTCATTATATTTATAATTATTTAATCATATTTATATAATTATCAATTATAATAATAAGTGTACTTCTTTAATTATTAAATATTTAAATTATATATATAACTTATATATATATATATATATATATATATATAATGTGCCTCCATGTGCTTGAATCCCAAATATATATATATACATTTGCCAAAGCCAGGATCCAAACCCAGTCATCCCTATATCATTATAATTTGAGCTCTTAACCACTATAATATACTGCCTCATCCAAATATATTGGCCTGATTCTTCTAGTGAAATTGTTGGCTGTTTATGTCCTGTTTCATCATTAACCGATCCCCTTTTTTATATAGTAGCATTTTATTTACTATGGCTTGATTTATTTGATTATACTCTTCCTTTTTGACTCAAAGTAAACTTTAATCGTCTTCTTTTTCCAATCTTTTCAACAACTTTCCTATTTCTACCATATTTATTGATTGATAGAAAAATATTAATTGTAGGAGTATTACAAGCAATAAAACATACTGATATCATAGTCCATATCTGAATTAACATTATGCATTATACCTAAAGTAGAGAAACAATTATTAAAATTATCTGAATCTCTACTAGACATCAGGAGCTTTGCACACTTTGTCTAATTTAACTGTCACAGCAAATCTTTTCACAAAAATACCATTTAACATGCAAAAGTTTTAAAACTCCTTTTGGAAACACCAGATATTCTGTTTAGTGGTTTTATAATATAGTATTTTTAGTGTTCACAACCTTCAAGGAAAGTATTCCCATTTTCCACGTGAATATACTGAGGTTTAGAGAAGGTCATTACTTTCCTCCAAATGAAAAACCTCCAAGTGAAAAAGTAGTGATGCAGGATCCTGTCTAACGCCAAAACCATTTCTAACACACAAAAAAAGGGGAAAATGCCTAAGTGTGATTATCCTACATAATTACTGACTTTATGTTACAAAGCAAAAAGTAGGTCCTTTGGGAACCCAATTAAGAGGCAGAAAATTAACAGCAGTAACTTAACAAAGATGCTCTTACTCATAAATTTGTCCCTAGAATGGCTCCCCAAAGAGCACCAAAGCCAAACAACAGCAATTTAGGCAATGTCTAGTGTGGGCAACATAATGGTCTGCATTTTAGCCCAACTAATATGGAGTAAATGCATTGGTACTTAGCAGTGAAGGAAGAGCACTCAGTAAATCAGAAACAAATTCAGGGCATTCTATCCAAGAGTGATTGCAAGCTGAGAGGACCTCCCATGGGAGCAGAAGCTGTTGATTAGGCAAGATTATTTTTAAAGCAGCCTTTTCCTATTGAAGGGTATTCCTGAGAGAAAAACTTCCATCCAAGAAATCTGACTTTGATTATTTATCTGCAATATGACTTACTGAACAAATATTAATAAAAGGTTATTCATACTTTAGATTGCTTTCTACTATCACAAGACTACATTGTCTGAACTTTACACACTTTGATTCAACAAAAGTTATGAATCATGCTGGTTATGCTTCAACTTTTACTGAAGCCTCTGTTGAATTGGACTGGAAAAATTAAATGTAGTAACTTTTTCCTTAAAGTGATATATAATCACGCTGTTAATTATTTTAAGCCCTCTTATAATAGCTATAGATTGCTTTTAAATGTAAAGGCTGAGCAAATACAACTGTAGAATAGTAATGAAACCTAAAGTCTGAGCCAGCTTTACCCCATAGGATCTATATGACTGAGAACAATTTACTTAATCTTTCTGCATCTCGGTTTTCCTGTGAAATGGATGTGATAATAGCACCTATATTATAAGAACTTCTTGAGAATTAAGTGGTAGATAAAGCACTAAGGAGACTTGAAGCATAAACAGTACTCCAAAAAGGTATGCTGGTATTAGTGTTTATTTAGTAGCAGTTCCCACGCTTTAACCCTACTCTAACTCAAAAGCCCTGGCCTTTAGCAACCCAATGCACTACTTCTAGAAATGAAGTTAAGTTTGTTATTTAAGTTTACATATACACACATATATGTGGTCAATCATTCACACACACATATACACACAAACACACATATATGTATGCAACTATTCATAAAATTTATTAATAAATTTGAATAACATCAGAAGTTTCATTAATGGAAATATAGTTTCTTAAACTCAGCATAATCTTTATTTGTAAATAGCTTCTACCATGCTAAAATTTTCATAATCCCACTTTCCTC